TTTTCGGAAAGTCTTCCATCAAGAGCCTCTTGCTCAGTCTGTATACCTTAACTGTCCTTCAGCCATCTTTCAGTTCTCGAGGTTATCGCAGACAATTTGTAAGGTGGATGGTTGTTCATCCAGAATTCAGTTACTGGCCTACATTTCTAGAGTGCAATGCACTGGGCAGAAAGCAACTAAAAAGCTTCCGCCTTTTTTGACAAGGCCAGTTCTTGACCCTAATTATTCGAAGTATGAAATCGATAGCAGTGTAGGGGGAACACTGAAGCGGTGGGATTTGTAACAGTATGGAGAAGAATACCAAATGTACTAACGTCAGTGCAACTAGCTTCATTTTAATTATATGTTTTAAATCGTCCGGAAAAGGGTGCAAAATAATTAAAGTTTGATATTTGTATAGCATCAGAGCCAAGTATACAAACTTATAAATATTTCAACAAATAAGCATTTTTTGTGTTAAGTTCGCTGTAGAAGACTAAGCAGTTGTTTTACATGCATGGCAAAACACAGATTATTTCGAGAAATATTAATTTCTTTTCCTACTATAAATGAGAAAGGCAGCTTAATATCGATGCAAATTAAATTTACGATGTTTCAAATAAGAAACATTTTGCAGTATTAATGAAGAAGGAATCCATTAAGAATGGATTATATCTTAAATAGTTATAATAAAATGATTAATATAAATTAATAATTGAAAATGGTTAAGTATCAACTGCTTAATGGTCAATTATCAAAATTGTTAATAAGCGCTTACTGGCTTTATAAGAATTCAGCTTTTAATTTTTAAATACCTGAAATCAGGTGTTATTGTATCAACCTCAATCTTCTTATCTTAGTAAAATAAAGTTGTTTGACATTTCCCTTCTTTGTTGTAATATTTGTAAAAAAACACTCGTAAACAAACCGATCAAAAAAGGGCATAACACTTCTTGAATAATTAAGTACTTTCTTTACTAAGTAAAAGCTAAAGTATACCCGTAACATTTATTTATGATACAATAACATAATAGGAAGATATTCTTCTTTGTTGGGCTCTACCGTTTTGAATAACTGTTTTTAATTACATGATGTAAGGTTTTATATCTTGAATATCTAAAGTTTGATTCTTAAACTACGAGGAATATCGTGACTGTTTCAAATTTTAAACTAGACTCTGGATATGGAGATCAATTTGCACCTTTTTAAAATCATTCTTAGCACCTCCAAAAGGTAAAAAATGTCAGCTTAGTTTCTATAAAATTATTTTAGTTTAAATCGATGCTACATCCGCACAACAACGAATAGAAGTTTTTATACAGTGTCTCACAAAAGTGATGATGGGACACTTGTGCTTTACAAAAGGAAACTGTAGTAAAATAAATTAAAAAAAACATGTACAAATTTTTTGTGGGTGTGTTTCATACTGAAATTTAGTAACAATTATTACATAACATACATTTTCTCAAAATATTAAAATATTAATTTAATAAAAATACAATTGTTTAGAACGGAGCAAAAAATGGCTCACATAATTGATTGGGACACGTAAGTATGGGGCATTTACTTTTCCATCAAATATTTATCCAAAAAATTTTACTTTTTAAAAGGTTTTAATATTTTGTTGGATTTCCTTTTACTTTTAAAATATGATTTAATCTTCTTGGGATGGATTCGACTAATTTTTTTTTTTTTTTTTTTTTTTTTTTTTTTTGTGATTCCTGGAGTGATTTTACCCCATTCTTCTTGAAGCACCGATTTTAATTGTTGTTTTGAAGAAATGGTGTGTTTGCGAATTCTTGATTAAAATTCTTGCCAAATATTCTGTATGGGATTTAATTGTGGAGATTGTGGTGGTGTTTTTATTATTTCAGGACAGTTATACAGCAGCCAGAGTCTAACGTTCAAAGCAATGTGCGTGGGGTCATTGTCCTGGTAGAATTTAAAATCGTTATGAAGATTCAATTTTCACGCTGAAGATTTCAAATTTTGATTTAAAATGTCATTATACTTGTACTGATCCATTATACTGTCAATAAAAACAATAGTACCAACTCCAGCGGACGACATACACTCCCATACAATAACTCCTCCTCCACCATGTTTTACTGTTGGCACCAAGTTTTGTTTTCGAAATTCTTCCCTAGGTTTTCTCCACACCAAGATTCTACCGTCAGAACCAAATATATTAAATTTACTCTCATCAGCAAATATAACTTTATTCCAGTAATCAGAATTCTTATTTATGTTGGATTTTGCGAAAGCCAGTCTGAGTTTTCTATTCTTTTCACTTACGAAGAATTTTTTCCTGGCTGCTCTACCATGATATCCAGCAGATCGAATTACTCTTCCAATAGTCTCAGGTTTAACAATTACTCCATTTAATGCTTGTAAATCAGCAGCAACTTTAGGAGCACTCATTCTTGGATTTTTTTTAATATTTCGAACGATAATTCGCTTTATCCATTGGATAGCTTTGGCCAGGTCTTCTTTTATCCTGAATCATATGATTCTTTTTATATCGTTTAATGATATTGTAAACTGTTGAATGACTCAAGTTAACTGTTTCAGGAGTTCCTCTAATAGATTTCCCACGTTCAATATGCAAATTAATAACTAATTTTCGAGTTTCAGGCAAAATTTCTTTTCGTTTAGCATTCATGGCTGCACAGAGCTAAAAAACACAAAAATTCCAAAAAAAACTGGAAATAAATACTGCAGAAGATTTTATAAATTATTGCCAATTGCTTTTGAGTAAAAATAAAAACCCCAAAAAATATTTTTATTGTAGTACGTAGTAGTATCTAATGGTATCCCATCACTTATGTGAGCCATTTTTTGCTCCGTTTTAAACAATTGTATTTTCATTAAATTAATGTTTTAATATTTTGAGAAAATGTATGTTATGTAATAATTGTTACTAAATTTAAGTATGAAACACACCCACAAAAATTTTTTACGTGTTTTTTTAATTTATTTTATTACAGTTTCCTTTTGTAAAGCACAAGTGTCCCATCACTTTTGTGAGACACTGTATATCCTCGGTATTACAAGAGCGAATTTCTCAATATAGCGTTAGGGTAATTGTTTAAAAACCTTTTGTTCTAGACTTTTTAACACAGACGTTACTATGAGTGTCACAAATAAATTTCTAAAACCTTTAAAACAGCATCACTTCAAAATTCCCAACGCAGCATTTACATTATCGTCTGCGCTAAAAATAAAAACCTAATAATTATGATAATGTTTCGTATTAACAAATATTTGAAAGCTTTTGTGTATTTTTCTTTCTTTATTACTTCAGCTTTTTTATCATACAGTATTATATTTTGTAATACTTAGATATTTTCGTTTTTGCACCATTTCCCTTTCAAAATACTACTATTACTACTACTAATAATAATAATAAAATAATCTGAAATTTTTCAGATTTTAAATTACTCCCAAATGGGATTTTTTAAACGTTTCGTGTGTTACCTTCATTTATGAAAATCACGTTCTTCGCATTTAAACCATAAAATTCAATTCAACAGCAATATCACAAAATAATTTAAAAAGAGTATATCTTTAGAATTTCCGATACACAGTCTCGTGTGCTGGAGATAAAAATGTTGTTTTCTTCCGTACAATGTTGCCATTGCTCGCTTTGAAATCGTTGAGCATGTTAATCAAAAATTCATTAATGTGTTACAAAATACAAAATAGATAATAAAACAAATTTCAAGTTCGGGCTTCCAGATGCCTATATTCGAGTGGAGGACAACTTATTGAAAATTTGATGTGTCTAGGTACCGTTGTTTTTCTCGCAGCGCGAGAAACATACATATATTCCTGCAGATTCTTCATTATTTAATTTCTTTAAATATAATACGGGGCTCTAATATTTGATGGCAATAATTTAAAAAGTGAAACTCCTTTTATCGCGAACCAACGCCAAATGCCAAAATAAAATTAATAGTCCTTCTAGGCAAATTGCCCCATTTGGCTAAATAATAAAGTTAAATGTTCTGAAAATCTTTGCATCTTGTTCCTTACATTTCAACAAAGCACTATAATGCATGCTAACCATTCACAATTAAATCTTTACTTCTTAATTGTAGTTAAGAAATAAAGCACCAATCAGTTTACTAGTATTAACAAATGCCAATTATTTTAACCATTATAAGGAAGATAATGGATTTTTCTCTTGTTTTTAATTGTAAAAAAGAGACGCACTAATTCCTTTTTTTAGTTCATTTCATGCTACAGTGGCTCACGTTTGCTTTCGGACACTTATGTTTTTGAAATTCACTTGCATAGATCTTGTCCTAAATACTGAAACACAGATTTCAATTTTTTTTAGTCCGAAGGGGTTTTGTCCTTGAGGGACTATCGTTTTCGTTTTGCGATTTTGCGTCGAATCACTCTGAATGTCCGTTTCACTTTTCAAACTGTTGCCACCAAATATTATCGCCCCGTACTATATTTGAAGAAATTAAATAATTAAGAATCTGCATAAATGTATGTATGTTTCTCGCATTGTGATAAAAAAACGGTACCTAGAGCCATCCGATTTTGAATGACGCAATCCTACTGCGAATATGGGCATCTGGAAGCCCAAATTTGAAATTTGGAATTGGTTTTATTATTGATTTCATATTTTCTAAAACTTTAACGAATTTTTGAATTTTTGATTTAACGTTTGTCTGAATTAACAAACTCAAGGATTTCAAAGCGAGCAATGGCAACATTGTACAGAAAAATGATTTTATCTCTTGTGCGTGAAACTGTGTATCGGAAATTCTAAAGATATGCTCAATTTTGAAATTATTTTGCGATATTGCTCTTGAGCTGCAATTTTTGGATTAAGTGCGAAGAACACGATATTTAATAAATAAAGGTAACATACAAAACGTTCAAAAAACGCCCCTTTGGACACAATTTAAAATCTGAAACTTTTCAAATTTTCTTTCATTGTTCTAACATATTGTTGCGTGCGTACGGGTTCGTAATAAATTGAATGCATAAGTCCGATGAAAAGTGAATAAAAATTTATTATTATCACTACAAATAAAATAAGATGCTTATTTTCTCAGATATTCGTGCAATTTTGCAATATCTCACAGTAGTTACTTTCAAACTACTTAAACGCTCAACAGAACTTCATTCAAAACAGAGAAACGTAAAGAAAACTAATCCGATTGTCACCGCGAATTCGCTACAGTAAACAACAGCAGTTTTATAAACTAAACTCATAAAACAGCTAACTAATTGAGAGGCTTTCCTCCTTTTATAATCTTTTTAAATCACACACGAGCATATTCTGGTATTTTCTCGAATTTTCCCGAAAAGCAAAAGCGTGCGATTACGAGATATCTATTTAATTAAATGCGCGTGCTCCTCTATTTTTAATTTTTCCTGCATAGCTTTCTCTTCAAATAAGTCGAGTGCAGCACTGCACGAGGAAATGAAACAATTTAATAACAATTCTATTAAAAATAGTAAACTAAATAAATCAATATAAAAACCGTAACAATGTTATTGTTTCGCTATTTTGGGTCTTGCCTGTAGTAAATTAATAAATAACATTGCCTGTAGTAAATGTATGATAAGTTAGCTGCCTGCTCGACTAGATTAATTGTAAACGACTGTGGTAGCGCATCATACACTTTCTGCGTTCAGGTGACTTTTCATGTCGTGAAGTAACCGTACTTGCATGCTTCCAGTCACTGAATTCGCTAGTGTTGAATGTATATTTGGTAGATGAAAACAATTTGCATACGAAACAGCATACATTTGCTTATGATGGAGAATATATTAGCTATTCGTGGTCTACAGCCTTACCATTACGTAGCTCTTCCTTGAACAACATCTCAGAAAGGTATCTTGTTTTAGTTTTAGCATTTCATTCGTTGTATATATGTGCTGATTTTTCAAAATTAAGATATTTGTTGGAACAAACTGACGGACTTTTCTCAATATAGTACGACTGTAAATTCTTGTCGATATATGATGGTCACAACCCTGGATCTGGACTTTCAAGAAAAATACTTGAAGCGTCCATGACCTCATCAGTTATTGTATTTATTTCAGTAGGTCTTATTGTTTCTTCTTGAACACTTAAAAAGTCGGTTTCTCGCCGTCCTTGTCCTTCAACTTCAAGTTGTATTGTTGGATATACTGGTAGAAGTGGTAGTGGTAGATATAGATGCAGAATTTGTGTTAATTTTAATACAAAATTCAGCTGGGTCAGCTTTCGTAATTTATCAATAGATTTCCTCTTTTCCATCGAGTTTTTACGTTCCACAGCTCCACTTTCAAAACGTTTCATTCTTATTTGTCCTGAATCTGGAATAATTGAAATAAATGTTGAAATCAATTGTGAAGGTTTTAAAATAGGTACTTACAACTTTGCTCTTACGTATAGATTTTAAATAGACAATATTATAAACTGTCAAATACTCGTACAACATTAACCCGTAATAAATGTGCGTGGCTCACAATCTTAACATACACACAAACCGACTTGGCTGATTGCCTTTTTTCAACTAAATGGGTAATGATGGTATATGACTAAACCTAGATACCGACGACGAATATGACATGATAAGTCTTTCCACTATTGCCAGCTAACATATAGTTAACAATTCCTAGCATTTTGGATAAAAACGCCTGAGAATAACACTTGCCGATTAAAATTATTCGCATCATGATCTTCTTGAAGCCGAGTCAAGAACGAGACAAGGCCCCTATGAGGCCGAGGCCTTGCGCCCATGACTTAAAACGTCCCTATGCATTACTATGAAAATGATCTTGATGCAAATTCAATACTGAATACTAATGAGTGGGTGTAACTGAATTCAAGAAAGAAGTAGAAATAAAGATAAGAAATAAATCGGAAATATTTTTTCGTCATTCAAAGTACGAACTACAGAGAAAATAAGAAAACAGAAACATTCAACTTGGAAATTATTACGAGTTCATTTCGTTTATGATTGTTCTCGTTTCTTCTGGCCGAACACCTTCACCGCATCAACGTTTTTGACAGCGAACTTCAACTAAGTGTCAAAAGAAAACAATCTTGAAAGCAGATTACCTTGAGATTTTTATTATTGTGCAATAAAGCAAACGACGATGCTCCAATGGGAAAAAAAAAAAAAAAAAAAAAAAAAAAACATACTTATCTTTCTTGAGTAGTTTTTCTGTTTTATTTTCTATTTTTAATTTTTCACAGTTTGGCTGTAACTGAAACAGAAAATTATTTCAGTATGTTTTGTAGGAATACATGCTTTCGAACTTGTTTATAACAGGACAGGGGCAAAACTTTTGTGCATTAATAATTTCTTTATACAGAACCAGTATTATAAAAAATATGTAACGATTTTAGGGAGTACAGCTAGTGCAGTTTCATGAAAATATTTAATATTCAATTGCTTAGTTTATTATTCAACAACAGGCAGATCAAATTTGAATCTTATTCAAAAATTAAATTACAGATTTGATTACCTTTTATCCGTACCTGTAAAAAATAAATATGCTCTGTTATGAAATTTTGCACTAAGATTAATCACTTTGTTCGGAAACGCATTTATAAGCAAACAGCCCTTTTTCCTGGCCGAAAATTAATTAGAAGAGAAGCTGATTGGCCGTTGAGCACTTACGATCTGTGGAGAAGATAATTTCGATTAATGTTTCTCCAAGACTGCAAATTTATAAGAATTGTAGTAAAAAACAAAGACGTTTATAATTATTTATTTTCATACATATGTATTTTTGTTTATATGTTCTGGAAAAGTTTAATAAATAAGAGAAAGACGCTGGATTGCCATTAATTATTCTCAAGATTTGCCCCACCGGTAAAGTGCTTAGTGCCACTTGTAAAGTGCTCTGAAGACTCAGAAAGTTTCCAGAGTTTTTTTTTATTTTAAATTAAACTAGTTAATGTTTATTGAAGCGTATTAGAACTATTTAAAATAAATGCAAGCCTTAAAATTTAATATTTAGCTCTCAGCATGTTTAAATTACAAACGTAACAAACAAAAACTTCTTGTAACTATTAAACTTCAGATTTCAGATAGAAATTGAAAATTTGAATACTTCCCATTGCTTTATTATTATTATTGTTTACGTATATTTTGATAAATCTTTAGTAAACGAAATTTAAAATTTAGTTAAAATATTTTTTATTTTCTTGGGGGAAAAATTTCATTTTATTAAAAAAAATGACGGTAGGCTATTTTAGTTTAAAGACTGTTGGTAATTTAATGCATAGAATAAGTGTGAGGAAATTATGGTACAAATAAAACAACTGTTACGAATTTTGTTAATAGATAGATGATTTTAGTGCAATTATATGTGAAACTGTATTTTTCTGTATAATGTAACATGAAAATCTAGAGAGACGATGCTCTGCCGAAAAAAAAATGAACAGAAGGGTAAGTCTATTTAACATTGAGTAAATGGCTATCTCGCTAATTTGGCGAGATATCGCCACGTTGGCAAAGATTTTTAATGACTGATTTTTGTCGCAAAAGTTGGCGAAAAATCTCCAAATGTGACCAGACTTGGCGACCGTTTGGCCACATTTTTGTCCGATCCCTTATCACACTAATTAGTATTGTAACTGAATCATTGTAATTGATCTCTTATATAGCTCTAAACGTCAGTCAGCCCTTATAAGCCTTCCAGTAATTTTGAGAAGCAGAAAGTACTAGAAATATCTCGGTGGCCAGGTGAAAACCATATAAGACCGAAGAAAGTATTTGCTTTCAGTTGTTAGTTCCGTGTGAGTTCGGAATACTGACATATCTCCGGGTTATCTTCGCTCTTTAGATGAGCTTTGCATTGCGTTGTGTTTAACTTTCTTAGTAGTTTGAAGTGTAACTACTTATTGTACTCTGTGATAGTATGGAAAGTTGTACTCTGTTGAAAGTTCCAGAACTCTGAAATGTTTCCTCTGATAAAATAAATTTTTTCGACCTGTCATCTGACTGTGTGCATTCAATCTATTGCGAACCTGTACGCATGTAACAAAACAAAAGATTTTACACACACATACATTTTATTTGATTTTTTCTTTTATTTATTACATTTATTCATTCAAAATCATCCCATGTAAAACTGGTCGATAATATTAGAATTAAGATATATAATTTGTCTCCAATTATGTTCCTAGAAAATGTTAAATCTATAACTGAATTGCCAAATGTACTTGGATAGTTACTTGGCACCATATTGAGATTAAAATGATGTTTCATAAAATTAAATGCCTTTCATTTCATTTGATGTCTACATTGAATTCTTCCCTCATAATGATAGGAACATCTTATCTACAGCAGAATCTTCATCAATCAATAAAATAGTCCCAAAATATTTCATCAATGCACTAAACAAGAACATCTTCAAATCTGCTGAATTAACAGTTGGATGAATATATACGAAAGCTAGAATAAATCTTGACTGTCCTGACTGTGACTGATTTACATCAACCACGCAAATATTGCCTGCTTCTGGATTCTTTTATTCTCTTAGACTGCATAACAGTAAATTCTACTGGTACACAATCTCTGCTCCATTCGTCAAATTTTTATAAAACGCAACACTACTAGCTTAGCGAAGTAAAATAACTGCATCAAACACCACTCGAACACACTGGCTATGCGAGACTGTCTACCAGACGACTTTTAAATGGTAACGCATGCGCAAGAAGCTTTGGCTTCACAAAATTTCACCACTTTTTGACGCGTTACTATACGTATGTAGAGACATTAGGTTATTTCGAAGCAGGAGATATGCAAAATGAGCGATGGCATCGCCGGGACTTGAACCACGAACCTCTCGAATGCTCTCCGAGCCTGCAGACCACTACACCGCGAAGGCATGCTAAAAAGGGAGGAGAAATATCTTATGTACTCCCCCCTATTTTAAAGAGTGACTGAGGATTAGAGGACCCAATCGCTAAGTCCTGGCGGTGGAGAATCGTCATCCACCACCTTTTTTAGTTCGGGCGCCATTGTAAAAACGTTAGGATATTTCGAAGCAGGAGACATGAAAAATGAGTAATGCTCTGGCGGGAATCGAACCACGGACCTTTCGAATACGCGCCGAGCGTGCAGACCACTACACCACGAAGGCACACTAAGAAGGCGAGAGAAATACCTTATACGTACATTCTTTGTCCATTTAAAAAAAATGTGTGTTTACTAATGTGCTCTTTCATCTATCTAATGATGTATTTAGATTGACTGTAACATTTGTAATTTTGAAGATATAAGCATTCGAACTCACCTCAATTTGGAATCTTAATTTTTACTTTTCCATCAGGCCATTATGGAGGAACGTAATCTTACGTTAAAAATAATGTGCTCTGGTAATTGTTTTTAGATTGTGCATTATGCCTGCATCCACTTTGAGTTTGAGCGTGCCTTACAAAATCAGTTTGATCTATTGCTTCTTTCGATGAAAGCATTTATTTCCGTGACTGTTTCAAAAATTGAAAAAAAAAAAAAAAAAAAAAAAAAAAAAAGACTTCCTATTGTCAAATATCCCTTGATAAGAATACAAGAGAAAAAGATTGAAGTCGGGTTACAATATTTGAAAATTAAGCGCCATCCAACGTTCACGCCAAATTGCAAAGCTTTTGCAATTCGTTATGACTATCAAGCACGAGGTTTATCTGCCAAGGACACAATGCTTTTTGCCCTGTCATAAAGACTAGAAATGAAGTACGGAGATAGTCGGAAGATCTTTATCACATCTTTTCTACTCGTGTAGGGGGGAGAAAGTATTCTTATTTGCTGCATATATTTTTGAATTTAGGAACTAAAGTGGTTCTAACTCTGTTTTTCAAAAATGTTCCAAATTATAAGAATTAAAAAAATTACACATTTTACAAAGGTTAAGGAGAATTATATAGTTTTTCATAACAAATAAGATTTTCGTGATTCCTGTCAGTTCATGATGCGTCAGATCTTTTTATCTTTGAAGCTATAAAAGTATTGAGATATTAAAAAATAATAAAAAAACTTAAGCTACACAGTTGTAATTAAGACACAATAACACACCGAATAAATACTAATTCAGAAGTCAAACAACAAAAATTATGACGCTGATTATTAAAAATTAGCGTCATTTTGCGGTTTTGCAGCTGAGGATGGTGGTTCGGTAAAACCATCGAGACTGGTCCTGTGAAAATTTTGTACACAGTTGTAGTTAAATGCTAAAAAGGTAGAATGTTTTTTTTTTTTTTTTTTTTTTTTTTTATTTTAAAGAGCTGTTATAATATTAAACGACAAAAAGGATACAAAATGTTAAAAAATTCCAAAATTTATTTAAATATAAAAAGTAGTTTGTTATACTCATAAAATAAAATTAAATTCTTAACAGCTAAATAAAAGGCTGATCTCATTCGAACTCCGGTTAAGAACATATGATTTAGCCGACAGCATGTTTAACCAACAACACGTATACCTCACAGCATGTTTAGTTGATAATACTTACATTTAGAGAAAAAAAATGCGACAATGTTTTAGTAAAATTTTCCGTAATATATCTATTCTCACTAGTGTCTGAGTAGTTAAAACCGCTGAATACTGGTAATTCGATTTGGTTCCAGGTCAAGTGAATGGGCTAGCTGCATGGTTGTTTTCCGTAGTTTATCTCATATATAAGATGAATACGAACTAGTTACCTCCGAAAGTCTCCACAAAGGCATCCTTCCTCTTAGGCAGATAGCCCTAGTGGTTGTGCCATATTCGTATAACCTAACCTAATCATATTTATCCGAGAACTACTTGATCATTCTACCAACTGCAAAATTGCTTGGATTCTTCATAAGTTCAAAATTCGAATCATTTTTTCATTTATCAATAAAATTCGCTGTTCAATTCTTAAAGATCCTGTCTCCGATTTTAATTCTTGTTCATCACTGACATGAACATGATTATTCTTGTTCATGTCAATTTTATCATGTCAGTGTGGTTGGATATGTGTTGGCTAAGCTGAAGGAGCGTTGAAATTTCTTGTCAGAGTGCATGAATCGTATATTCGAAAAGGAGAAATAAGGAATTTTTTTAATAAATAATCACATTTGATTCTTGATGTACAAAAATTAACAGTAAAGCTTGTGCAGTTAGTAAACTGAATTTTTTTAACCCTTTCACATGATATTTTGTCATAGTAACATCCAAAAATTTTTGCTAAACATTTTTTCTCCTTTAGTTAGTCACATTAATTTTCCATTCCAGATCTTCCCAAAGTTTTCAGAATTCGAAGAGATTAGCTTTTTTTGTTTAATTACTATTTTCCTCGACAGATCTCGTCCTATTCACTTTCGCTTCTTTTACTTCTTCATACAAGGAAATAAAAAGATAAACATAGTATTAAGCAAATAAAACAGATGAAAACTTAATTTAATTTTACCGCGCCTTTAGGAAAAAGAGTGGTATAAGTGGAAAATGATGAGGAATATCATTTTATTTGGGTTGAAACTTTTTTCTATTAAAACATCAGGAAACTATCTTCAGCGATATCATCTTTTACCCTTTTTTTGTCTCTAAGCACTACTCTAGTCTTAGTTCAAACTCACTGGGCCTCCGTTTTGTAGTCCAGTCAGGGTTTGCGGAGGAAAAAATATAAAACATTTTCTCACAGGTTCTGTATGTTTTTTGGGGTGCTGATCCAGAATTTTAGGTTAGAGACCTCGCCAGAAGCCGGCTTCATAACGAAAATCGATAAACATCTCAAATTGCGCTTTTTTTTGTTATAGTTTTTTTTTTTTTTTTTTTTTTTTTTTTTTAGTCCAAAGGGATTTGAATCCCAAAGGGCTATTAGTTTCGTTTTGGCATTTTGCGTCGAACGGATAAATGTCGGTTCACTTTTCAAACTGTTGCCATAAAATGTTAGAGTCCTGCATTATATTTGAAGAAATTAAATAATGAAAATCTGCGTAAATGTATGTATATTTCTCTTTCTCACATTGTCATAAAATAACGGTACATAGAGTCATCGAATTATGAATAACGTAATCCTCCAACGAATATGAGCATGTGGAAGACCAAATTTGAAATTTGAAATTTGTTTTATGATCGATTTCCTATTTTTTAAAACTTTGACGAATTTTTGATTAACAAACTCAAGGATTTCAAAGCGAGCAATGGCAACGTTGTGCAGAAAAAAACATTTTTATCTCCAGCGCGTGAGTCTCTGTATCGGAAATTCTAAAGATATGCTCGTTTTAAAACTATTTTGCGATATTGCTGTTGCACTGGATCTTATGGTTTAAGTGCGAGGAACATGATATTTAATAAAGAAAGGTAACATACAAAATGTTAAAAAAAACGCCCCTTTGGACGTAATTTAAAATCTGAAACATTTCAGTTTTTTTTTTTTTTTTTTTTTTTTTATTTGCACCAAAAAATTAAGTATACAAATGTCTAAAATACAATAGTTAGTGGCGAAGGCTTATATCACTTCATGCTGAACATTACTTCGATCCTGCTAGCAGACACATAAAATAAAACTCAATGGCGGGGTTCAACGAACCTAGCGTATTTGCGATTTCACGGACAGACAGAAAGTAGTTTTTTTTTTTTTTTTTTTTTTAGCGCGCTCCTAGGCGTTATTTTGCGATTTTCGCGGACAGACAAAAAGTAGTCTTTTTTTTTTTTTTTTTTTTTTAGCGCGCTCTAGCGGCGTCACGGATCGTCTGAACATTAAACTTAATATATGCATTTTGTAGGAAATTTTGTATATTGTAATTTTGAGTAGAGTGGGCATGGAAAAATGCTTAATTTATTAGTTTAAAGAAGGGCAAGTCGCTCGATGATAAATTAAACATGTCAAAATTATTTTAAGCAAATATCAATCTTAAATTTTGATATTTATCTATCAATATATTTGAATAATGAGGTGTAAGTCCTGCACTTACCAAATTTTGGATTTCAAACAGAAAATAAATGTAAATTTGAATATTTTCCTTTGCGATATTATTATTACTCTTTATGTATGTTTTCCGATATATAATAATTAGTAAGCAAATTTTAAAATTTATTTATTTACTTTTTTAATAAATAAAAAAATTTTCCTTTTTTTACAAAAAATGTTCTGTCAGCTGTTTTCAGACATTCGGCCGGCATGCAATTTGAATTTGGGACGACAGCTGTGTGTCACTTGTATCCAGGCTTTGTTAGTGAGCGTGAAACAATGGAAAATATTAAAATCATATTTCCAAAAATTCCTGTTTGTTAATTAATTGGTTTTGCTTCAAAATACCCTTTAAAATAATATGTTACAGACTTGTGCATTCGTAAGCCAAGACACTTTTTGTCATCTTTGAGCTTTTGTTTGAAGTAATTTGTTCGTGAAGTGAGGCGTTCGTGATCCGAAGTCCCACTCTACTAAACAAGCACTAAAAAAGTCAAGCTAACCAGAGAATTTTCCTTTTAGAAAGGGCACTTCAATAACATACACGTTTGGAATACATCTGAGACTTTGCGACACTTAATCAAAAAATTCGACTGCCCAGGATCAAAAAGAAGGAATGGGAAGCTTAGTTTAAAAAAAAAAAAATTAGTCCCAAGTTCTTCACATTTTTATCTCCTTAAATTCTTATTACAGGAGCAACGATACAGTAGTATATCCACAGGTAAGCTGAATTATGTGCTTGGTTAATATACAAACCTGTTGCCGTATTTTGACGTTTTATGGTCATCGATTTGCTTACTGTTTAGATTTTAGTTTTTATTATACATACCGAGACAAATGAAGTCGGGTAGCACAACTAGCTACAATAATAGTAATAAAATGCTAATGTTGTTTATCTGTACCTTATTATCTAAAATTAAAGCAGCCGTTTATTGATTAAAAAATAAATCAACTATTTCTACTGATAATGAATTCAGTTTCATAATCATTTAGCTACCAAGCATTTGAGACTGGAAAACAGTATCAGTGACTGATAACCATTTATCTCTGTATGGGGTTTGAGCACGTAACTTTCAAATGTCAAATGCTCTGGAAACAATTGATTTTTGATAGTAGAACAAACGGTCAAAGTCTGGATGACTAACATACTATACAATCTTCGCTTAATTTTTTTAATTGCTGTTTATATGTAATCTACTGTATTATCGACTTACAAGAAAGGATTCTGAACTTTTATCCTCAGTATTTCACGATATAGTTTGAGAGTTGATAACATGAATTTGCATAAAGAAGTAGTTGCAATCATAGCCGATTCTGCTTTTTAATTTTTTATAAAATATAGGTGAACATTTGATAAAACTTAGTAAAAATCAAAATGAACATTTTCGATGCATCACTGATCAACTGGTGCAGTAAACGCACTTTCCTAATAAGGAAAGTGGTTCCTAATAAGTAAGAGTTAATAGCTGAATAAAACTTAAGGCATTATTGCAGATTAAAGTTAGAATTTTGATTTACGTATGAGCAGATTCATATACACATAGTGATTAATTAAATTAATTAAAATTACCAGCATAAAATATTTGTTGGAAATGTCAAACTGTACTAAATAAGTAGAGAAAAAAACAATTTCTTAAAGCCTACGCCTAAAATTAATGTAAACGAGGGAAAACTGCACGTAAACATATAAGATATTTCTCCCGCCTTCTTAGCGAGCCTCCGTGGTGTAGAAATCTGCACGCTCAGCGCGTAATTGAGAAGTACGCGGTTCGATTCCCGGCGAAGGCGTTGCCTACTTCCAAAAAATACCTAATGTCTCTACAAACAGATTAAAATAAAAATAAACAAGATATTTTGCTAGTTGAACGATTTTAGACTGACTCTTCAGGATACGTTTGCGCTGGATTCCAGTTTTGAAAACCCAATTTAACTTTTTTTTGAGTCATTATTTATATTTTTTTGCATTATGTGTATATATTATGTCTTTTGTGGGCGGTATAAATCTGCAAGAGCTCCTTTATATAGGACAACACG